AAAAATCCTTATTTCTAGAGTGGTAGGTCAGTTACCAAACAGAATTTACTCATAAAGTGCTCATAATTGACATATTAGTTAATAGTGACCCATTCCCACTAAAATCTGAAGTTTGATCACATAAGAAAATGTTTTAAAAAGGAACTTTTAGAAATAATGACTCCAAACACATTATCATGTTTTTGTAATGTGTTATCTTCAGGGTTAGAAGATCAAATGAAAAACTGAAGATATAAAGTTAGCATGATTTGGCAACTGGATATAGTGGGAAGAATACTGGCTTTGGAGTCAGAGAAACTGGGTTCAAAACCCACCTTTAAAATTGACTGGGGAGGGAATGTTTTCTCATTTGTAAAATAAGGGGGCAGCCCTAGATGGCCTGAGATCCCTAACCAGTTCTAAATTTCTGATCCTATTAAGTCTCAAGTGTACACAAAACTTCAAAAAATCTAAAAACATCCTTTTTTTCTTCACCTCTTCTAAACAAAGAGTCAGAATAAGGTTACATGCTTTACAATACAAGAAAGGAAACTGATCAGATAAAGGCTACCCCTTAAAGGAGCCTAAACTGAAGATGGACTTTTAGTTTTAAGAAATCTGTTCTCGGACATCAAAAGAACATGCTAAATGACACTAAAACCAACTCAAGTCATCTCAGGGCCTGTGGGGTACATAAATCAAAAGTAAGTTAAGACTTAAATGAAACTCTCTACTTTATAGACCATAAAGCTCTGTGACAGCAAGGATCCTTTTTTCACCTTAATTTTTTATATCACCCAACCCAACAGGGTTTCTCACCACACAATCAATCAACAAGCATTTGTTAAGTGCCTACCTACCATGTGACAAGCACTAGGGACTAAAGAGCATTTGTCAAAAGACTACTTTAATGTGTGAAGCACTACAGATAGGTGGCATAAATGAAACCATGGCTACCTTCAAGAAGCTTATGTTCTAAACGGGAAAAGAATATGAACACATAAGATGCAAAATATATATATACAGTAAATACAAAGTAATTCCTAAGTGCAGCATTAGCAGCTTGAGGGGGGAGGGTGATCAGGAAAGGCCTCTAGTAAGAGAAGGCACTTGCAAGGCAGAAGCTTGGGGGGTGGGGGGTGGGGAAAGGAGGATGGCCTGTGCATAGGCAGAGGCCGGAGTCCCGCACAGCGTTCACTCACTGGCTAGATGTTTGTTGAATAAATGCTCTCTGGTCAAGTTCTTAATCTTTGTGTGTGTGTGCCCTGCACCCTCCCCCACCTCTTTTGAGAGTCTGGTGAAGCCGAAGGACCTCTTCTCCAAATAATGCTCTTAAACGGGTAAAATAAAATAAACAATTACAAAACAAACCACTTATCCTTCAAGATGATTATTTAGTTTTTTAAAAAAACCAAGGCTCGACCCAAGTTACGTGGGGGCCGCTCCATGAAGCCGGGGAGCCGGGGAGCTCCGCGGCTGGCGGGGAAAGGGGGCGGGATCCCCAAGCGATACGTGGCGGGACCGAAGGACTGAAACCTGATGCAAGAACCAAAGGTCCGGGGGAGGCGGGGAGGGGGCGGGGAGGGGGCACCGGCGTCGGCCGGGGTGGCCTGGGGTGGAGAGCAGGGGGGAGGGGGGGGGGGCTAGGGGGAGGGGCAGGAGAGCCGAGGAAAGACGCCCCCCACCCCTCCCCCGCTCAGGGGCCCCCCTCCGTCAGCCGAGCGGCGCCCCGGGGGAGGGGAGGGGTCGAGGGAAGGGGCTCCCACCCCGGCCCGCACTCACTCCCCGCGTGAGCCCAGAAGGGCACGGTCCCGTCGCTCTGCACCAGATGCGGCCCCTTGAAGCTGTACTTGTACTCGAACCGGCGATGGGGTGGCGGGGCCGGGGTGGCGGCGGCTGCCCCGCCGCCCACTGGGGGGTCCCCGCCCGCTCCTTGGGCGCTGGAGAAACGGCTCAGAGAGAGCAGCAGCGCGCAGAGAAGCGGCCCGGCCCCGGCCCCGGCCCGGGGACCCCTGCTCCTGGACCCCGCCATCTTGGATTGTGGGACGAGGCGGCCCGCCGGCGGAGGGAACGAAACACCGAGCGAACAGCCAACAGGGCGCTCGGTGATTGGCGGAGCCGCCGGCCCCCTCCTCGCCCGGGGAAGCCACGCCCCCGGCCCCGCCCCCTTCCCCGGCAGCCGCGTGGCTGGGGCACGGGGGTTGGGGAGGGAAGCCTGCCGGGACGGGGCCACGAGGGGCGGAGCCGGGAGAGCGCGCTGCCCGGTCCCTGGTGGCCTCTGGACTTGAACTTGTGCCCTGCTTACCTGATAAGAAGAGGGAAAACTGAAAACAACAAACTCCTCACATTCATTCTTTCCTCTTCATCAGGCAATTCAAGATGGCAAAAGAACTTCCTACTTACAACTCCTAGAATTAGTGGTAGATTATAAACTCCTTGAAGGAAGGGACATGGTAGGGAATTTTTTTTAAATTAATTTTTTGGTGATTAACAAGCATTTATTTTTCTCTCCCCCCCCATGAACAAAAAGAAAAAGAAAACCCTTATAACAAATATGCATGGGGTGAGGTGGGGTTCATGCCCACATTGACAGTGTCCAAAAATTTATGTCTTATTCTGAATTTTAAGTCTATAATAACATGTTTCATCTTTCTGTCTCCAGTAACCATGGATTTTCACTACATCGATCAAGATTGTTATATTATTATTGTAAATTGTTCTGGTTCTACTCCACTCAGTTCCTAGAGGTCTTTCCAGTTTCTTCTGAAATGTGCATTTCATCATTTTTATGGCACAATCATATTCCATTATATTCATACACTAGTCAGACAATAAACACTTATTAAGTGCCTACTATGTGTCAGGCACTATGTTCTATTGCCTTTCCTCTGTTGATTATTTCCACTTTATCCTACATATAGTTTGTTTGTATGTAGTTATTTGTATGTTGTCTCCTTCTAGGCTATGAGATCCTTGAGAGTAGGGACTGTCTTTTACCATTCTTTATATTCCCCATGCTTAACACAGTGCTTAACACATGATAATTGTTTATTTTTTATTTTTTTATTTTAAATTTTTAGGCAATTGGGGTTAAGTGACTTGCCCAAGGCCACACAGCTAGTAAGTGTCAAGTGATTGGTCTGAAGCCGGATTTGAACTCAGGTCCTCCTGAATCCAGGGATGGTGCTCTATCCACTGTGCCACCTAGCTGTCCTTATGATAATTGTTTAATAAATATTTATTGACTGCTTGACTACTTAACCCTTGGGATACAAAGAAACATATAAGACACTCCCATGCTCTGAAGGAGCTCACAGCCTATCATAATTTGTTTAGCCATTTCCCAGCAGATGAACACTGCCTCAGTTTCCAGGTTTTTGCTAATGGTAGAATGTGTGCTGATTGATTGATTCCTGGGAAGAATGGCACTTTCCTTGTGAAGATGACAATTGTAAGATGTCTAGTTTTTAAGAAAGATTATTATTAAAAGGTTGCTATGTTGGAAACAAAAATATAAATCTAGTTATGTGATAAATGCACATTGAGGTTTACAATATTAACACTGTAAGAGACTATCAAAGGTTCTTCTGAGCACAGTTAGAGCATCTAAAATTGGGGCTGGGAGTAATAGAGGGGTAATCCTAGAAGCCTCATCATCTTCTCCATGGGAGTGGAATGAACAGTTCTATGAACAGGTAAGTCACACTTCACCTCCTGGGGCTTTATTTCTCCTTTCTCAGCATCTAAGATCTGCACAGATGCCAAGAAGGCACCAAACTGAAATAATAGCACCAGCCCCTGTGAAAGGAGATTCTATTTAGTTTATTTCAGTTTTTAGGTAGTTTTTTTTTTTATCGTTGTTTTTGAGGAGGAAGGAAGGAGAGTATATGAAAGGCATTATGCAGTTGGGGGAGAAAGGGATATGAGGAGAGACTGAAAATATCTTCTCTTTGACAATATGTTCTATTGAATAAATAGGACTATGGGTTTTTAAAAAAAATAGTGAAAACCTAGTTCACTTCCTCAGAAAAAACTCATTTGTCAAAATTCTCAGGGTTGACCATGTTGTATAGATTGTAAACTATTTCACAGTTTTGCTTTTCTGAAACATGTTTTATTTTGAATAAAGATCTCATTAAAGATTTTAAAATGGTTCAATGTTTTTCTGTCCACAATAGTTTGTACCATTTGCCATATTAAACTGGGCTAGGGGAATCAAAAATGGAACAGATGACCTCAGGGATAGAGCTTTAATTTTGCTTTTGCTGACCTTCCAATCTGTAGTCTTCAAGTGCTTCAAACTTATTGCATACTATGGCTAATTTCCTTAACCACTGTTTCAACATGGCATTCGACTACATATTCAAATCTCGTTGTATCACAATGCAAATCAAATAAATTGGAACAGCATTTTAGGGCAGGGCAAAGAGTTTTAAATTTAGAGCAGTGCTTCTTAAACTGTGGGTTGCAACCTCATATGGGGTTGTGAAAAATTTGGCAATAGCAAAAGGTTTCTGAACACGAAAAGACCAAAATTAATTAAAAATTAAACACATAATGAATCTGAGGTGTTTCTGGTAGCGCTTGCCAGTATTGCATCAAGCAACTTCATGGCAGCCTTGGTTCTGAACACACAGCATGTGCACTTTGCGCTGTGCTTGCCCTCACACCATACAATGGCAACCAACTGCTGAAACTGACAAGGGGTCATGAGTGGAAAAAATTTAAGAAACTCTGATCTAGAGCACTTGAGCAGGAATCTGAGGCCCCTGATAACTAGGTTTTGCTACTTATTGCCTTTGGGGGGGGCTAGGTCCAACTTTCTGGACCTCCATTTCCTCCTTTGAAAAATGGAGGGCTTGGATTAAATGGTTTCTAAGCCTCTTTTGAATTTGAATGCTGGGATTCTAAATGTAGCCATGCCACAGTATTCTGAACTGTGCCTATGACAGTATATGGGAAGTTGCTTTGCAAAATATGAATCAGTCAACCAACAAACATTTATTCTGTCTATTCTGTGTGCTTGCTTAGGCAGTGCATTTGCTAAAATTGGAATAACCCAGAAGATTAGTATGGCCCTATGTAAGAATGACATATAAATTAGTGAAACGATTCATATTTTTTATTAAAAATTTAAAGAACCTATTCTGTTTGGCATTTGTGATGTAAAACAAAAATGAAAAATAGTCCCTGACCTTAACAGCCTTCCATTCACTTGAGGATATGGCTTTACATACATACATATATATGTATATATATATATATATGTGTGTGTAAAGGATATGACTTTACATATATATATATGTAAAGGATATGACTACATATATATATATATAAAACAATAACAATAATAACAATTATATATATATAACAAAATAGACAAACAAGGCAACTTTTTTTAAAGGAAGGGAAGGGTATTAGCAGGTGGAAGGGATTGAGAAAGGTGTCATTTAGGTGTTGCTTGAGCTGAGCCTTGAAGGAAACTAGAATTTTAAGAAGTGAAAGAAGGGGTACATTTTCAGCATGAGTTATATAAGTTATCTATAAACATTTATTTGGCAGTTACTGTGTCTAAATCACTGTTTTAGGCTCAAGGAATACAAAAAAATGTAAGACATAGCTTTCAAGAGCTTACAATTGATTGAGGAGGCAAGTAAAGACAAGGAAGAGTAGCAGATGCTAAACAACAAATGAGTAGTACAGACACAAGTTAAGACATCCCCCTAACTAACCCATGGGTTTCAGACCTGTTGGTTACTCTCAACCTGGATTAGCTTGTCCGCTGAAACGGTTTTACTGGAATGTAGTCAATACCTGTGCTCCAGCTTCTTGGAGCCACAGGTAAGAGTTGGGTGACAGGTAAACACCAAAGGTGGATGCACAGCCCTGAAAAGGGGTCAGCAAGCCCTCATATCAGAGGTACTAGCCCTCCTTGAACACCTCATACACCCCCAAGTTGTGGTAAAGAAGAGGAGAGCTTAGAACTTAATATTCCAGCACTCAAAAGATAGAGGCTTACCAACGGGAATAACTTACCTAGCAAAACTAAGTATAAAGTGATAGGGTAAAAATTAATCTTTAATTAAATAGTACATTTCAAAGTGATGATGAAAGGACAAAAAAACGAGTAGACATTTTAAAATGGAAATGTAGGAGCCAAAGAAACATAGAAGGACAAATATATCTTTTTAACTAGAAGGGAAAATGTGGGGATGAGTTGTTTACATGCTAACAGAGGAATAAGAAACAAATGTTTTCTCAGAACCATGACAGAAGGTGTTTGGATGGTTTGTTCTGTTTTGATGGTCTTAAGAGAAGACCAAAAATAGGAACATCATGCAAATTTGGGGGAGAATTTAAATGAATGGCATACAGTGACACTAGGATAGTTAGAATGATTCATTGGTATTCACAACCATGCACAGTAGAGGAGGGTGTGGATAGATGTGGTCAGGGATAGAGTCTCATGTGGACTGTCTTGCCCTCACCCTCTCTTGGGGTAACATTCTATATGGCAACCTGGATAAGTGGTGGGATGTACTCTCTGATGGAAATCCCAGAGTCCATGGGCATTCATGCTTACAAAGAGTTTTCAGACAAATTCTACTGTAGTAGCCATCTTGTCACTGGTAGAGTGATAGGTTCAGGAAGCATGAAACAGTAGCAAAAGAGGAGGTTTCTAAAAATTGACCACTTAAAAATGTTTTTAAATTAGCCTACTCAGGATGAGGAAGGTAGAATTATAACTATGCCTATTAGCAAGCTTTCTGGAGAGTTTCAGGAGCCTATTCCAACCAAAACTGGATGCAGTTTAAGCCTTAAGCATACCATAATTGTGTAATGGAGACAATCCTAGGAGTAGAATCCTCTGATTATTCATGGAGATAAGAAATTATACTATAGAAGAAAAGAGGAGGAAGGGGAGAGAAGTCACTATTATATAAAAGAGGTGCCTATGATGAATAGTTTTTAAATATGGAAAAAGGGAGGGATTGATGGCCGTCTCATGAGCCTCACTTTTTATTTGAACTGGATAAAGGAAGATTGAACACAGTTTTACACTCTGCATGTGCATGTGTGCACAGACACACATACACACACACACACACACACACACACACACAGATCTCAGTTTAGAAATTTATTAAACCCAAAAAGGAAACAGAAGACGAATAAAAGGGAGGGGTAGAGTGGGGTTTGAGAGGAAGGACAGGATGGGCAAGGGAATAGTCATAAGCAAAATAAACTTGAATATCAGAGAGAGGGAAATGAAAGAGAGATTAAAAGAGAAGGAACAAAAAGTAAAAACCCAGAATTGGGGCTGAACAAGGGGGAAAAAGAGTTATAAGAGTGGAAATAGACCATTTCATTTATAGATCACATGTCAGGCAAATTTCTCTTTTACCATCTTATTTATAAAGAGGGAGGTTGTTGTTGTTGTTACTGTTGTTTGTTCTTCATTCTCAGAGAGGACCACGACATCAGGAAGGTGATGCCATGACATGCAAGTGAATTGGATTTAAGTGGAGGGAGGACCGTGCAAAGTCACCAGCTTCACTCTCTCCTCCACAGCCATCCGGGTCCAGTGGCCAGATATAGATCAGAACGACTGGAGATGGTCCCCCAGGAGGGTGGGAACAAAGAAAGGAAGAACAGGATGGAGAGAAATATACAATTAACAATCATAACCATAAAAGTGAATGAGAGAAAAAAGTGAACTCACCCATAAAATAGCATAATGGATTAGAAAACAATCCAATAGTATGTTGTTTGCAAAAAAAAAAAATTAAAACATAAAGATTCACATAGAGTTATAAGGAAGTTATTTAACAAACTCTATTATTCTTCAATTTCAGTAAAAAAATCAAAGATAAAAATATTAAAGATAATTAGGATTTTCACATAAGATTACACTAAATATAGACATAAGAAAAGAAATAAGCAGGGAAATTACATTCTAAAGATGCCATAAATATTGAATTAATATAAATATTTAATATTATGAGTTATATAGTATAGCATCTAAATATTTACAATTAAAATTAATCAGATTGGAGGAAGCAATAGGTAGCAAAACTATAATCGTGAGAGATCTCAATGTACACCTTTCAGAGTCAGGCAAATTTAACCAAAAAAGAAACAAGATTTTACATTTATGTTGATAGTATGTTTCTTTTTCTTTTCTCTATTGTGTATTTAAGTTTTAGTATTTAAGTCTAAAATAAAAAAGAAGTTAAGAAAAGAGAAACAAGAACAAAGTTAAGGATCTGAATAGAATTTTTTTTTAAAATTAGAGATGATAGCTGTTAGCAATTATTGTATGGGACTAGAAAGGAATTTATACATTAATCAGAATCTGTACATGACACTTTTGCTAAAAATGACCATGTATTAAGATCACTCAAAAATGTAGAAAATCATAAATATTAAACACACCATTTACTGATCACAATAAAAATTTTATCCAGTAAAAGAGCATTGAAGAAAGTGAAAAAATAGTTGAAGATGAATGATTTTTAAAAACAAGCAGGTTAAAGAACAAACCTTCCTTCTATTGATTATCTCTGATTTATCCTGATAAACTTATTTATACATTGTTTTCATATTGTCTTCCCCATTTCACTGTGAACTCTATGAGAGTATGAATTGCTTTTGCCTTTCTATGTAACCCCAGTGCTTATCACAGTGCCCTGTATTGAGTAAGAGCTTAATAAATGTTTGTTGAATGATTGACAATGGATAATTTCTTCAAAGAAAGTTATACTAATCAGATAATGAAACTTATGGGATGAAGCTAAAGTAGTTCTTTGGGGAAAAATTTATGTCTCTAAATGCTTTCATAAAGAGAAATGACAAATAGAGTATGAAACTAAAACACCAATAAATACCTCCAATTAAGCAACACACTAAAAATTCTGAAAAGAAGACATTAATAAAAACTGAAAGCAAAAACAAAATTATGCAACAAATTGATCAATAAAACTAGGAGCTTTAAAAAGTGAAATAGTCAGCCAGTTTGATTTTAATTGGAGCAGAGAAATCAAATTGTTCAGATCAAAAATGAAAAAGGAGAATTCAGAGTAATTGAAAAAGATATGAAACAAATTATCAGAAACTATTTTGCCCAACTACATAATAGTAAAACTGATAACTTAGAGGAAATGGATGAATACTTACAAGAATATTAAATACTCAGATACACAAAATAATGGAGTATTTAAATAATCCAATATCAGAAAAAGAAATGGACCAAGTCAAATATTAATCCATAAGAAAAAACTCCAAGACTAGATAGATTTACTAGGAAATTCTACCAAACATTAAAAGAAAAATTAACTCCAGTATAACATAAAATAATTGCAATAACAGGAAAAGAAGGCACCCTTTCAATCTTTTTCTTTGATACAAACATGGTCTTGATACCTAAATTAGTGAAAGACAAAACAGAGAAAGAGAATATTGGTAAATATCCCTAATGAACATTAATGTAAAATTTCTAAATAAAATATTAGCAAATAGGCTATAGCACTGTATTAGAAAGATTGTACACTCTGACCAGGTTGAAAAAAATACCAGGAATGTAGATTTGTTTCAAAACAAGGAAGATTATAAATATAACAAATCACATAAATAATATAAGTGATAAAAACCACATGATCATATTAATAAATCCTGAAAAAGCTCTTAACAAAATTGAACACCTATTTATTTTTTTAAACTTTTTTTGAAAGTTTGAAGAATATTTTCATTTTTTCCAATTACGCATAAAAATAATTTTTGATGTTCTTTTTCAAAATTTGAATTACAATTGATCTCCCTCTATCTATCCTTTCCCCCTCCCTCCTCTGAGATGATAAGCAATATGATTCAGATGATACATGTGCAAGTAGGCAAATATTTCCATATTAGTCATGTTGTGAATATAAACATACAGAAAAAAGTTCTAAAAAGTAAAAAATAGAATGCTTTAATCTGGATTCCAACTTTATCATTTCTCTAGAGGTGGATAGAATTTTTCATTATAAGTCCTTTGGAATTATCTCGGATCACTGTATTGTTGAGAATAGCTGAGTCATTCATAGTCACCATACAATATTGCTGTTACTATGTACAGTGGTCTCCT